ATTAGTGTTTTTGTATTCTTTGGGTAAATACCCAGTAGTGGAATTAGTGAATCATACAGTAATTCTGTCTAACTTTTTGGGGCCCCTCCATACTGTTTTCCACGGCAGCCACACCAGCTTCCATTCTCACCAACAGTGCTAGAAGGTTCTTTTTTCTCCACGTCCTCACCAATACATGCTTCTGTCTTTCCATACTTTGATTGGGCGGACATTTCAGTTGAAGATAGATTATCATCCTTCACCAAATATCGTCTTAACTTACCTTTTTTCAAGTTAAGCTCTTTGTAAGATCAAATTACGTATTTTTCCACTTACCTGGTTTTAGCTGAAAACTATTTTAATTTGGGTCTTCTTTAGAAAAAGAAACAACACATTTCGTTTTTATATAGAATAAACTTTGTTTTTATTATAGATATGGATCAAAAATAAAAGTTTTTATGTACATATGACATGTAGTGCAAACCAAAGGCTTTGAAATACCACGGATAGACATGTTGTTGGAAACAAAAGGAGATGAGTCATGGGTGTTAGGATGGCCGTCCTGGAACTGCAGGAGGGGGTCGCCTAGTGAAAACAAAAGAAAACAAAATAACAGAAAAACACAGATGCAGAGGAAGAAAACAATGTTTAAATTATAAGACAAATCCAAATAAAAGCATGCAAAATGATTTCATGAGAGTCAAATTCAAATCAGACGAAAACATGCAGACATGCAGGGGAAATGAGAGCGCCACATGGCAAAGCAGGCATTTCCCAGGACTCTTCCTGGCGACAGGCCGTGCGCTCGGTGGGAGCCACGAGAGCCCGCTCCAGAACCTTGTTTTGTACCACGGGATGACAAATCCACGCAACCATATCCAGGAGACTCAGAAATAGCACCAGAGCCCAATACCTTTATGACCTTGAGTATTTGTTTCGGAGCCCTGATTTTGTGACGTTCGGCTCCTTCCACCGATTCCAGGAAATGTTACATCTCCAGAGGGAGAGGGAGTGGGAAGAGAAGTCACGACAGGTAAAAAACCACTTTCAAGATGAGGGAAATTAGACGGTGTCAGGAGAGCAGTGAGCAGTGTGATCCCGTGAACAGTCACGCAGAAAATGTCAGGAGTTGAGCTTGGAGAACAGGATTTGCCAGTAAGAAACTGCCCCCCATGACTCTCCCGATAGCATAACTGTCCAGGCCCGCGGAAGCCTGGGGTCTGTCTCGGTCGCCTGCAGCCGCAGTTCTGGTTTATTCGGCGCGGGGCGCGGGTGACCCAGTTTGCTGGATCTTTCTCCATCCCCCGCCTGGTTTGCGTGGCGTCGGGCGACGTTTGTGGAATGAGGGTGCAGACCGTGTTTCGTTCTGCCCTCGGCCTCTCCAGACGGTTGGCTGCTGGGGGAGTCGGCGCCGCGTCGCCGTGCGCGGCCGTGAGAGTGGGACAGCAACAGGCCGGATGACACTTTCCCACTGGCTTCCGGCAGACGTCTGCACTTTAATTTCCTCTTTCCTACCACATCGGTAATGAGCTCGGGGCCCCAGCGAGCCACGGAACAGGGTGAGGTGAGCTTCGTACCCTGCTCCCGGGGGACTGCTTTCTGGCCATTCATGCGGGCGTGCGACAGGCCAACACGCCCCCTCCCCGCCTGCTCTGGGAACTCCAGTGAGCCGAGCCAGGACGTCTACCGAAAACAGAAACAAACACTCCTTTTTCATCTTCTAGAGACGTTGATGGAGCCGGACTGACGGGACTGTTTCCGAGCCGCGGTGAAAACCTTCCCTTCCCTCAAGGCCGAGACCGGACCGGCTCCTCTCTGGTCCGGTTCCAGCCCGCTGTGCCGTGCGGGCCCCGCAGCCGCGGCCGTGAGGAGGCTCGTTTCTGGTGACCTTTCAGCCGCGGGGGTCTGCGGGCCTTTAGCTTTCGAGACCCAGCTAATGGGTCTCCCTGGTGTGTTCGTGAAGAAAGTGTAATTAAGTTCCCGTCAGGCTCACTGAGATTTATTACCTGCCCGGCAAGCAGAAACAGTTTTTGAGCTCGGAAGGGGCTTTAGAACACTTTAATGACCTCAGCAGGGTGGGGAGGTGAGCCATTAACCCGAGCGGCCAGTCGCAGGGCTGAAGAGACCGTCCGTTAGCAGATGCCAGAGCACTTTCCCGTCTGCTCGTTTGGGCGCGCTCACCCCGAAACAGGACCAGAAACTGTCTTGGTTAGTTTCAGCCACGGCTAGAGTGTTTGCCGCAAACATCAGAGTGACACTGAGTCCCCCTGAGTCCCCCAGGCGGCTCCTTTCTTCTCCTCTTCACTCTCCCGCACCAACTTTCCTCTCATGGCCAAAAAAGCATTGTCCAGGATGACACCACGCAGCGGCTCAGAGTTAGCGCTAGCATGGGTTTGGGGGTTTGGGTTTTCACTGTTTCTTTTCCAGAACTTTCCGTATAACTTACACAATGCCAAAGTGCCCAAAGGCAAGTGCTGGAAACTGTCTGGGCTTTCCCCATGAAGAGCTATAAACGCACCTCCTCACGCTGTGGCTACCTCTGACGTGGAACACTGAGCTGAAATGCTGAGGTTTTGCACATACATAAAATTTGCCAACAAATTTTAAAGTTTAGAAGCATGCAAGCAAATTTGCCTAATCAGGATTCTAATTTCAGGTTATACCTTCTTAAGTTTTCTGAAAAATAGCTTCAAAGAATCGTTGGGCCAGAACAGGAAGGGAAGGAGTCAGGAGAAGCTGCATCTAGAACACGGGCGTTGTTCACATACAGAAGACTCAATTTTCAATGGAAGGATTAGTTACCCACACTCTCTCGGATCTACCGCAACGCTTCAGTCTGTTCTTACGGTGAAATTCCTCTAGCAGCGCCCCTGGGAAGGCTTTATGACAATCTCACAAAACATTCTCTGCTTGTTTGCTTTGCCCAGCATTTAGGGAACTCAGTATCTCAGATCAGTGGATGAGCCTGAAGGCTTGGGAAAGTGAGACAGAAACGGCAATAAGGATAGGCATTCCTTTCTGTTTTTGTTTGGTAATCTCTAAATTTTAAATCAGTCTGGATCCATTCCTTTACAGGAATATAATGGGGTAATGTAATTAATTTAAAGGAGCTTTTCTTTCGAGAGAGAGGAGAGAAAGAGAAAAGGTTGTATGGAAAATGATCTGCATCCTCCACAAGGCTTGCCGTATATTACGGCTAATCTAGGTCTTTCCAAGACCTGTATTGCGTGTGTGTCTGCAGTCTGCTTTCGTGCCCCTCCTCTGTACTCTCACTCACGGGGTCTAGTACACCACTGGGATACGGTGGGATCGTCCAGGAAGACTGTCCCAAGTTGGGAGCGCTAGTTGCTCTTCCATTTGATTTTACCCTTGGCATGGTGATCATGACAGTCTGTACTGGACTAATCCTGCTCAAAGCCTTTTCTCTCTAACCTGACGCCACCGAAGCCACGTTCCCTCACACTAGACCTGTGAGATGCTTTATGAACAAAGTATGGTGGTCAGATAAATCTGCGGAACATGTAGACACTGACCCTTCCTTAGAGTGTCACGGTGCAGTCTGATACCAGAGTTTCTGTAAAGTATTCCAGGAAAGAGACGTTTAATTTTTAGTCATCATTTCCCAAGTGTATTTCATCAAGAAAGCCTGGGTATGCGTATGTGCAAAACCGACTGAAATCTCGTGGAATACACTTGGGGAAACTCTGGATGAAGACTGTCATTTTAGCCACCATCTCTTGCATGTAGTCTCGTTATTAGGTGGCCACAGTGGGAAAGAGCACCAGCAAAGGGTCTGCATCGTGGCAATGCCAGGTGTGCGCTGAAGTACGAAGTGGTGGGTCTGGGAACCATCTGACCCAAACTCCAGATAGATTTCTCAATCTGAAATTTAAAGATTCCTGCAGAAAAACAAGAATCTTGACAACTGAGAAGATGTTTACACTGATGCCAGAATTATTTTAAAAATACAAATGGTAATTTGCCAAATAGTTACCAAATAAGTAGTTTGCCAAATAAGGTCTGTTGGTTTGGGTAATTTCCATTAGAAACTATTCTGAATAAGAATCATGCAGTAGAACTCCTACATATGCACGCACACCCCCCACACCCCAACACAAGTGTACAGCAGGATTCTCCTCCTCTTTTGGTAAAAAGCTTCCTTTGGATGCATTAATGGCTCCAGTCATGGAAGATGTTGTGATACGAAGAAGAAATTACAACAGGAAAGCGGGAGTTAATACAACAGCCTTTGCAATTCATCTTTTCCCAGTGAATGTATCCTGAACAGAGAGGGAAAGTAAACCAGCGTTCTCCTCCCATTCACTTCTTGTCTCCTGCTTTTGGATGGACGCTCAATCTGGGACTACGTACATTGGTAAGGGACCTGTCATCAAAACTCTGTAACAGAGAGTCTTTCTCTGTGTTCTGGAAACTGAGGACAAGGATGTGTATAGCTAGTGTGTAGCACTCTACTCTTCCATTCTCTTACTATTAGGGAAACTAAAGGGGTAGCTTCTCCCTTTGATGCCCAATGAGTGCATGAAGGCCAACAGTTGAGTCAAGAGCTCGACTGCTTTCTGTAAGAAATGCCTTCTGTGGACCTGACATGGGGGCAGAGTGTCCTTACTCCCTCTGCTTCCAGGGTTTTTCATGAACACTTCCTCTTCAGTGGCAAAACGAGACGGGGCCTCTTGTCAGTTGTCACACTGCACCCTCCACCTGGCTAAGGCTTGTGCCCTTTTGAAACCTAGTCCAACACGGAGTTTGAATCAGAAATGAAATCTCTCCTACTCTCCTGTCTTTGATTTGTCCAATTTGCTCCCTTTAAAAATCTTGTCCTCCCTCAAATTAATGACAGTAATGCCAAATGCTATTATTCCCCGTTTTGGTAATTCTGGGCCAATTTTATAAGTATTCAGAAGTCTCAGATCTTACTGATATGCACAGGTATGACCCAAATATATTATACAAGAACGAAGAAGGGGGGAGTCCTTCAAATGTTACCATTTATTTCAGGTTCAGAAATACAGCTTCACATTTTCACAATAGGTACATGTGACCTTCAAGAATGGTACAGGCTTCAGGAACTTGCTTCAAAAATTCCATTCACAGAGTCCATCCATATATCAGCATTAAGAAATCCTGAAAGTGCCAAGAAGACAGTGGAGAGTGTTCTGGCTCAAATTAATTAAAGAATCAACAGAGAAGGTAAGATTTTGCTTCTACACACGGCTTCATAAAAAAGCAAAAGGGGAATTTGATTCAGAAAAGTGAGAAAAAAGAAACATAGATGAGCAAGCAACACAGAGGCTGTACATATGAAATTAAACTTAAGTCACGGTGAAATTTCTAGTTGAGAGGAATCATTTTTTTTTTTATCAAACTGGTAGCAGACAGTGCAAGAGGTCAACAGAGTAAATCTTTTGTCATATTTTTTGAAAACATTACACAATGAGCAAAGTTTAAGGAATTCAAAGGGTAAAAAATTAAGAAGAAACGAATGCCTTGAGCTGAGCCATGTGTGAAACCCCAGACCAGAGAGGTGAGAAGTCTCACCGGTATACCAGCATGAACAGGTCTTAAGACAAACAGGAGACTCTTCCTTGAGTTTCCTCTCTCGCTCTCACACATACACACATTCTTACACATATGTACAACTAGCAATGCGTATGCTACACATGCTTCAAAATATTCTGAAGGTTTCACAATACAGAGCACCGCGTGATTTTAAGCATACCAACTGGACGGGATGACTTAAGATTATCTAGGAGACACATTGAAACTTCTAAGAAAGGAGTGAGTGATCTAGGGAACTAATCACGTATTTTTCTACAGTCATCTAGTGTTCTTCACGTTAAACTCTGAGCTCACAGCTAGCAGTCCTCTTGGTGAAGCAGACGTAAAACTCAACCTGAGTCTTACATCTTCTCTCCTTCGACTGGATTCCATGGTACAGAGACCTCCTATTTAGGTCGTATTCTCAATGTTAAGGAGATAACTGTCAATTTCAAATACTTATCTTGTTTGCCAAATGAGAAATGTTTACCTGAAACAAGGGATGGATGACCTACCACTGAGGTACTAAGTAACAACTTCTCTGCATGTTTAGCGAATTTACTCAGAAGAGCTCACTCTTTTTATTACATTGCAGTATCCCTCCACTTTATTTTTTGACATTTACCGTGGAGGAAAAAAATGACTATGTAGACCAATTTAAGCTTTTTAAGATTCAGCTCAGCAATCCAAGAATCATAATTCCAATCAGGGTTCTTAGAAGTGGGTTTCCTGATCTTACGCTACATTCGGCAAAGGACGTTTCTCCTTAGATACGCAGTGCTGTGGGCCTCGGTACAAATGTCTGTGGATGTTGTCATGGTCATTCTGAGCATTGTGCCTGTCCTGGAAGACATTTTGGAACCTCACGTATGTTACCACGGTTCTACGAACCTCTGTTACGTATTCTAGCAGACCCTCCAGAGTGAGCTCTTGAATTAACACAGTTTAAAAAATATATTCATACCCCCCCCCACAAAGCACATGTATACATGAATATTTACACCCACACGTAGCATATATACACAATGCACACACAATCACACATGCTCGTGGCATTTTAACAAGGGTTTTTAAACCTACCTACCCAAAGGGGCACCAAAACACGTGTACTTACAGAAATGAATTTCCCATGTATATACTGTATACACAGACACATGCATTGAAAATATGTTTGTACACAGGAAACGTCAACATTTATCACATACTGGTATTAGGTCCCATTTCATATTTGAGAATTATGGCTACAGTCTATACTAAAAAATCATAAAATTAATCTATATGACTACATTTAAATTCTAAGTTTAGAAGGCTTACAGTTCTATCCCAGGAACTGGTTTCATCATCACGTTTTGGAACAGAACAAGTTTGTTGCTGAACAAGTAGGCAACTGGCTAATAAACAGGCCCTACTGCTTTTCTGTGTTACAAAAGTCAGCTAAAAGCAACATTCAGAAGAGTAATCTTGGTAGATGACTTCTGGAAATGCAATATATCTGCTCTAAATTGATACTATTTCAATAATCTGTCCACAGTTGAGTAAATGGTTATTCCAATTAGTCGATAAGCGTGCAAGTGACAAGAAGTGACGTACCTATCAAACAGGCATACACAGTGAATTTTTCCAAATCCTAAAGATACCGTATGTTTTATTTTGCTAAAAATCTGTTGTGTAGATGGCATCAGAGCGGTCGGTTAGGAGGAAGCTACTCAAAAGATGAAAGGGTACGGGAAACTCTTAGCTCATGAAGCTACATTCCCACCTTAGGGCCTGGCATGAACAATGCACTTCGCACACATCTTAGAGCTTCTGACTTCATTCACCTTGACATCTCCTTTTAGCAGGATGCAAACCCTTTGCGAAATGGTATTAAAACTAATCCTAGTACTGCGGCAAACAAAGTATTCTCCAACGTGCTTCTGGAACTCCAGGGGAGGCTGGGTTCTGTTAGACATAACTGAGAAGAGGTAAGAGAACAAAAATGTGCCTACAGAGACAAGCGGGACAGGGGAACTGCAGGCTCATAATCCAAGAGCAAAAGCCAGAGATGACAAATGCCATTGTTTACGACTACAGAAGATCAGTGGAAAGAAAGTTGGAAAAACCTCTCCAATTTTCTTTGACATGGTTTGTGCTGATCTAAGAACACACCAGTGGTTATCCACAATATTTTCCTTTGACAGAAGGAAATTTTTGAAATACAGCAAAAGGCAAAACCACGTTTAGCACAAAGCCAAACCCTGAAGTATATAATCCTCTAGCTGCCTGTTTTAGAGAATTCAAAGGAAGAAGCAAAGGGAGTCCGAAAGAGGGAGTTTTATGAAAAGATCTCGTAGATCATTTTGTTTTACTGTGGACATTTACGTAACACGTTTCCGTTTAGCTGCAGCACTGTTTTTTAAAAACACATTACGTACTTTGCACAGCTGTTCCATTCACAAAGAATTAAGAATTTTTTCAAATGAGGGGGAGAAAAAAGATAAGAGAAGATTCAGGCTGGTGACTTGGGGTGGTGGTCTATACAGAATCACTTGTAACTTAAAAGTTGAAAAGTTCTTTTTGTAAATCTCGTAGTCTCTGATGGTTGCCTACTACAAGTGGGGTAGCTGTAGCCCCTTAGAATAACTTCAAAACAATGCCATTCCGCTTGGCAAGTTCTCTTTTTAATAATGGCTGAAAGTTTTTCCTTCATACTTTATGGGTGTCTGCTTTGGGTATAAAGTACACAGGAAATTAAAGCTAAGTGAACATACAAATCATGTTTGCTGCTTTCAAAGGGAGACATTTCAGTTGGTGAAACCTGATTTACTTCTGTGGAATATGAAATAGTGTCCTGGGACGCTGCCGTTCAGTGAGGACTTGCTGTCTGGGAACAGTCAGCAGACAGCACTCCATTCGGCTTCTGGCTGTTTCCTACATGCTGATCACCTGGTCCTACTTCGTCTACAGCTCAGCCTCCGGACTGAACTATTAACCCCCAGGCTAAACCGATTTTGTAAATTTTTGCGGTGTTAGCATTTGCCAGGTTGCTGTAGATCTCAGTGTCTTAGTTCCACCTTTTGGAATGACCTGTGCAGAGACTCTGAGGTACGGCTGTAGAGCGTGAGTTCCTGCACTTGAAGCACGGCATCCCTCATGAAACGACTTTTATTTTCATTCCAGGGCCCCCTTTAAAAACGGCCATCCCAGAGCAAGGCTCAAGATGTATTAAGCAAGCCTAGAATGGATGGAAAGTTCGTTAAACCGGCTTTAAAGGTAGGATGAATTCTTACACGAGGGAATTACAAATTAGCTTGGAAAGAGAAAAACTTGCTCCAACCACATAAATAAGTACACTACACTTCGTGTCACAGTGGAGTTAGCCACGCCTACATCTCGATCGGTGTGGGATGTTAAATATTTCCCATGTCAGCCTTCACTGTAACCTACAGGGAGGTGAATATATATGTGAACAAAGAAATTAGGTATTTCCAGACACTTCTAGAGATGTGACATTTTGCTTCTTCCTTGAACTCTGAAACTAACTAGCCAAATCTTCTGACCGACTACCAGAAAATTAAGCTTTGATTCGCTGTTGAATATGCTTCGAGCATGAAGCAAAACACATCAGGATGAGGAGAAGCTCTCTAGAGCAAGCAATGCGTTAACTTTTCCTCTGCAAACTACTTTGTGCTTCTGGAAAAGTCTATTCTTAAGGAATCCTAATTAAAAAAAAAAAATCACTTCCTAGCAGTCCTATGAAATAAAGAGAATGGAAAGAGGATCTAAATAGGTCATTAGAGTAGGAGGAAACATTCACGATAGACAACATAATTTCTATCAGCCAAAACAGAATGTGGGAAAGTAAATACACGTATGGCTTAGGTCTAAGCGCGTCTCAAAGCTCTTAAGAATTACACTTAATGGGCTACCTGGTGGGTAACCTAGGAACTCGTCCAAAGCAATTTCAAATATACGCCAGGGTAGGCAAACAGTCTCTCAAAATACAGGGCTGCTATACAGACCTACCCTTGGTCAGTACAACATCTAAAGCCTCGAAGGGTCAGCAGTTTTCCAGAGTCAAACTCCGAAGGTCTGATACACCATGAGCGATGACGATGAGTGACGAATGCGTTAGTAAAACGGGTTACTTGCCTACTGATGTCCGCACATGCGACTACTCATGATTTACTGATCAAATATGCTGCTTTCACATAATTCATTAGTAATTAATTGCCAGGCCAGACACTTCGTTTAGTCTAACAGGGAGGATTCTAGTGGACGGATTATAGTGGGACGAGTTGGTGATGGGGGTGGTCTCCGGCTAGAAAGAGAGAAAGAGAGAGGTAAAGAACAAGTAGAATATCTAGCAGAAGGTCGCCCCAGAGACACAGAGCGTCAGCACACACATGCCCATGCGGAGACAGGCCAGCAGCGGCGGTTGCCATCTGTCATGGTTCGGACACTGTTACCTGTCAGCTAGCATTCTGAGACAAAAATGAAGGATTTTGTCATATGCAAATCTTTCTCAAAACAGAAGCTGCCCCTCCCAATACTAAAACAAACAAACAAACAAAAACCCCAAATCATTTGAAAGCCCCTCTGAAGGTGTGCTGTGCATTTCTCAGCCAACAGAGATGGGTACAGAGGGAGCCGTGTCATGCTATGGCTGCTCCAGGCACTTACAAGGTATGTTAGGCCTCAGAGAATGATGCTCTTTGAATTTTTATTTCCCTTTATATAATATCCTTCCTCTTTTCTTCTTACTGTTACAATGTTATCACTTCTTATTGCCTTCAGCAGTAGCTTTCTCCAGTTTGTTCTATATTTTACTTCTAATTTGCAGGGCCCTGGAAACCGGAGAATCCGGGTTTGGGAGTTCTCTACAGGAAGTGAAAGAAGGCTCCGGAGGAGTATTGCTTGCTTTCTGGTTGGTCACATTTCTGAGAGCTGAGGGGGCCGAATCCACAAACTCAGGTGTGAGCTAGACGTAAGAATCTCGACACCACCAAGCAATGCTCTTTTTGTCCTAAACCCCTCCATTTACTTCCCGATGTGTTAGGAACTTTGTGTGTGTACCTGCTTTCATATGTAGTTCTTGGGGAGTAATTTTTATAACCAACAAAATTCAACAAGTTGTACAAATCATAACAACCTTTCTTTTTGATAAAACTCTCCCAGTGACTGTTTCAGAACAATCCCTTTTGGAAGTATAGTCATGTTGGGGAATTTTTTCTGTACCAGAAACACTAACATGATTAAATCAAATGTCCCTTCTCAGGTATGAAGAAATGAAGATAGAAAAATTAAAGAAAATAATTACGAAATGTTAAAAAAATCACAAAGCTATAAAAACTAGACAGTCAAGGAAAAATCAACGAGAAAGAGATCTTGTTGATTAATGGTAGAAGTACGGGCCACTTAGGTGCAAACTCCTAGGTATCGGCGGAGTTCCGCTTGGTCCCGCACCTGAAAAATATCCAAGAGGCTTTAGAGGAAAGGTTTCCTGGGGGTGGGGGTTAAATTCCAATTTAACCTCTTCTGCTAGGCTCGGTACTAGGTGGGCACTCACTTTCTTAAAGTCTAACTAGACATACTTTAGCAGCACAGTAACCAAACTAAACCATCAATACCCGTTATTAAGTTTGAAAAGACAAATAAGTCCTCTTTTTGCAGCCAGTCTGCTGGCCGCTGTGACTACCTGAACTGTTTTGGCCGTTCCCTACTGGGAAGGATCCTCCAGAGTTCTTTTTTTTTTTTTTTTTTTTTTTAAGATTTTACTTATTTATTTGACAGAGATCACAGGTGGGCAGACAGGCAGGCAGAGAGAGAGGAAGGGAAGCAGGCCCCCCGCTGAGCAGAGAGCCCGATGCGGGGCTCGATCCCAGGACCCTGGGATCATGACCTGAGCCGAAGGCAGAGGCTTTAACCCGCTGAGCCACCCAGGCGTCCCCCTCCCGAGTTCTTTTTACTTGTGACCGTGGAGCAGCACTGTCCTTCCGCTCGCACCCCGCTCATCTTCATTTAACGTGGCCACATTTATTTAGCTTATGTCCTGAGTCTTGTACCTGCATCATCTTCTCCTTTGTTGTGAAGTTTCTAGAAGCCGGAGGTCACACCCACTGAACTTGTCTCCTACGGCCTTTAGCATGATGTCACGTGCAGTTAGGCGCTCAGTGCTGTTTCGTTCATCCGCGAGAAGTGCTCTCCCTCCTTTAAGACTCATGCCAGTGAAGTCTTCCCTTCCCCCCATCTTGATGCGGCTGCTTCGGAAGCATCTCAGCGTACGTGTTACAAGCATCACGCTGAACCCTAGTTAGGGTTATAGGGTTATCTCCACTGAGGACGAACTCATCGTCCTGTTCTCGCCGGGGGTGCTTATCGTTCGGCCACGGAACAACCGAACACTGACAACGGAATAAAGTTGCTCCTGGAAGCAGAAGCAACTGCGAAGCGCTTGTGGTACTCACTGATCTTTACATTACGTTCTCTCAAACTATTATGACATCTTTAAAATACGCCCAGTTTCAGGTTAAAGTAACCCATGTATGTACTCAGTCATTAAAGATCCTGAAAGCTCCCCCCTTCTGGAAAAAATGAGCATCCCTTCATTTTTAAGACAATGAAACGCTACTAGAAAGCACTTCAGGAAGAGCGTTAAGTTGCTCGGGTGATTTCCTTAACAAGCAGCGCTGTTTGCCAGCCTCGACAGCAGCAGCACATTTAAAGTTCGTTTCACTGGTCTAGTGCCCGACCATCCGAAGAGCTTCCAAAGACATTCACCTCATAAGACCGTTTGTTTTGGGCAAAGCAAAGTTATTTGTTTGGTACCAGATTTTCCTCAGTTGCTTTGTTTAGGGATGGGCCGCATTACGGAACCCGTCACAGTGAAGCGGAGCGTCGTGCGCCTCGTAGCGTTTCCGGAAACCCAGTGTGGCGCGGGCGGTGCGTTTCCGCTTCCAAAGCACAGGGGGAGCGGGCGCATGCGCAGCTGCGTTCGCCGCCGCAGCTCGCGCGTGTCCTGGACAATGACGGTTTTTGCGAGAATCCGAAGCTCACACGGCGTGGGTGGCGTTGAAGGCGAGCAATGGACTTTCCTGATAGAGCGGGGGGCGCGTTACTTGCCTCCGTCTTTCAATTCTCTTCGAAGAACGGAAGAACTGGTTCTGAGTATTCATGGTGTGAGGCCAGTCTTAGGGGTTGAGAACATATTTATATAGAGAGAGCGAGAACATACAGAGAATTCAGTAGGGCCAGTGGCTTGTGGGGTGCGCCAGCCGCGGGGGAGGTGGTGGAAACGACCGTCCCTCTAGTTCCTCGCTGCCAGGCAGCATGACCCTGTTGAAAGGGCTTGCTCTTTCCGCCTCTCTCTGCCCTTACTCCTCGTCAGGTGGGAGGTGGGAATGATGAGCCTGAAACGTGAGAGCCACACTAGCTCTGTGTAGCGCAGTCTCCCTACTTTTCCCTGTTGACACTGAAATCTCCTGACTCCCAGTCCGGGACGCTTTCTGTTGGACGTTACAGTAGCGTGTTCGAGGCAGCAGTTCTCAAACCGGATTGTGCAACAGAATTCCCTGCTGGGCTTGTTGAAACTCAGATTGCCGGGCACCACACAGAGTTTCTAGTAGGGTGAGACACTTCTAGCAAGTTCCCCGACACGGCTGATGCTGCGGGTCCTGGGACCAGGCTTTGAAAACCATTGTTCTAAGGCATAATAAGTGATTGTCCTCTTGCTTTATTAGCAGCTCCATTCACTTGCCAGATATAATACAAGCAGAAAGAGGAAGTACTAGAAAAAAGTCTCAAGAAGAAGGAAGAAATGGCTATAGAAATACTTGATACATTTGAGAATTAGACTTAAGCACGGGTCAGATCAGTTTTAGGTTTATTTCGTAAAGACCAAGATACTGTAATGTTCTTGTAAATCATCCCAGAAAAATAACTACTTGCTTAGGGAAGCTTGTATTTGCTTCTGAAAATGGCAGTTAAGTGTAGAAAGGAAGCATCTATACACCCGATTCCCAGTTCTCATCTCTGGAGAGGGTATGACTGAAGTCCAATCTAATTAGCTAGATAAAGCCCTCCCTCCCACCCCCACAAAAAAGAAAAGAAAATCCTCCAAAAAGATAGAGATGAACACATCTAGAGGAATGATATCTGCCTACCAGGGTACTACTTGCACAAAAAAGGATATTCAATAGGCTTCTCTTGAACCGCAAGTTCTACTTATTAAATATAATCCAGGCTTTAAAATACATCTGTCTCAAAAATTCAATTTACATATAATTACATATTGCATGTAATTACATTTAGGATGATGGGAGAGTCATACATGCCAGGTTTCTAGAGGCCACAAGGATCTGATAGCAACTGGCCCAACTTGTTTATCTTATTGATGAAATGGGTAAAAAAAATTTTTTTCTCTTAAAGGGTTTTGTGTACCGAACCACAGGAAGTAAGGTTACAGCTGACGAATTTCTTAGAAAACCAGAAAACAGAACTAAAACAAAAACTGCTTCTGAGTTTTCTCACATCAAGCAGAGCATCTGTGCAGGGGGCTGTGCTGTTTTCAAAGCAGCCGCGGGCAAGAGGGGCGCCGGCGGCATCGCTAAGCCGGGCTGGGGGGCTGCCCAGCGTACGTCCCTCTCGGGAACTGTAACACCTTGCTTCTCCACCATCCTCTTGAATTACTTAATCCTCCTCTCCTTTTTCAAAGTTTAAGGCATGTAGGTATAGTTTATCATCTGAGTGACATAAACTTCCTGTGAACCCGGAGTATTCCTCCTCCTGCTTATAATCTGCCATGGCACCTGCAGGGGGCACTGTCCCACCCGGTGGCTCGGTGTGCAAGAAGGCGGACGCCCAAGGACGGGTCAGGGGCGCACCTCCCGGGGAAAGGGAAGGGCCGCTGACTGGGACCCGGGACTGTGTGCTGCAGGTGTCTGCGCTGGTAGCCACGCGGACCCAGCCTTCTGAGCACAGTCGTGCTTGTGAGCCTTTATTAACAAGACCGATTTTACATATCTACAAGCTACGAGGCCAAGTTTTAAAAAAAAGCTACAGCGGTCAGGACATTGTCCACATGGAAGATAATAGTTTGTAATTTATTATTAAAACTACTATAGGCTTCCCTCCAGCATATTTTTGGCCTTTTCAGCTTTAGTAACAAAATGAGCCAATACTGTCCAAGAACAGTTTACAGTAGATGTTGGAAAGAACACAGAACTTGGAGTCCTTTAAGTGGACTCTAGTCCATTCTCTGGCACGATTCGTGCTGCATACTAGAGCCAGCGTTTCTGTCCCCTGTGAAAATGAACCCGTGATTTTATAACATATGTCACCGGGAAAGTATGAATCAGTTGATAGACTCTGAAGTAAGAACAGAAGGGAGAAAATAGTCCCCAATTGTTATTTGATGATACAAACATCTAATACCCTGTACGAATTAGTCCCTGAGCGGAATGGTAACATAATCCCCCTTGCCACATTTTCTTTACATAATCTTAAACACCAGACTTGGATTTCACCCCGAGGGATGGTACAGATGTGCCCATTTCTGTGGCTGTAGCTACCAGGCAGCCTGAAGGAGGACTTGCCCACATTAACTGCTCAGTTGGTGATTCGTAAAAAAGAATTTTACAGTAGCATTCGGCCACGCAAGCCTCTCAGTAGACCAGAACGAGAAAGTGTCTGTGTTTAGATTGTTTCTCCAAATACACTAAATATTGGGCTAATTCCAAAATAAATTTTGATTAAGCACTGCACATCAACTCATTCTGTATTAGTTCATTCCCTCAGTAAGCCCCATTCACGTGCTACGTGCGGGATTAAGAGTTAGATGTACAGAGACCTGATCCCTGCCCAGGAGTTTCTACTGGTGATGGGGAGAGAGACCAGTAAACCGTGCCGACAGCGCAGAAGATGGTGTAAGGGGACGGTGTCTCAGCTTCGGGGGCCCCTGGAGTCTTAGTCTGGGTCGGGGGGAAGGGTTAGGAGGACTTGGGGGGTTACAAGGACTTCCAGAAAACAAGGGAAGTTGAGGGGACTGCAGTCCAGAAACAGGAACTAGTACGTGTGAAGGAAAGCAAGCTAGAAAAAGTCCTGTCCCTTTGAGAAACCGAGCCTCGTCTGGTTCTGTATCGCACGTGTCACAGTGATTTGTTGTGCTCTGAGTCCTAATGCATAAAATGGGTAACTTACAGGCTTTGGAGTTAAGTTAAAATATGATTCCTAAAAAGCACTGCTTTTGAGATTTTTAAAAATGTTGTAGCCTCTGTACTACAGATCACCAACAACAGATATGCTGGCTGGAGGGAAAGACGGAAGGACAGGCGAAGCAGCAGAGGGTTAAGAGGAATACGAGGGGAGAAAAGTGTAGAGAGAGAAAGGACGTGGCTTGGAAAGAGCTCTAGGTGCACATGGCTACTTAGTGAATTTAGGCAGTGTCCCTTCCCATGATTTTTTTCCCCATTTCTCTCCCTTTCTTTCTCTCTCTTTTCTCCCTTCCTCCCTCCCTGCTCTCTCTCCCTCTCTCTTTTGAGCAATCCCCAAAGAGATCTCCAAGAACTTACATGATGTAGAAACTAGTCCCATTGGTTTTGCTGGGGCACAACTATTTCTAACCCTCTTCATCTTCTGTCCTCTTCTGCCTGCCCTTCTCCTCATTCCCGCCCCAGGCACCAGGGGAAGGGGTTGGCCAATGCCGCCATTTGGGGGAAGGAGGAGAGCTTGGGAAGGAGGTGCTAAGAGCCAGCAACTGGGAGAGGCAAAGGTCTACTTCTGAGATGCACATTCTGTTGTCATCTCAAGTCAGTGAGAAGAAGAAAAAGAAGCAAGGATGGGGAGGAAAAAAGCAACACTTTGAACCTCTGTAGAGAACTATAACATTCATTTCTGGTTTAGAAAGACAAAAGACTTTGTGTCCCTCTCTGTTAGAGAGCAGGAACCTGGCAGGCATGAGTATCTGACCGGGGGCCTCACCTCAGACAGGGCAAATAGGGAACTAGAAAAATTGATGGAGAAGTTAACTTTCTAATTCCTTTTATTTTAGTGACAACGACCGACAGAGCACAAGGAATCTGAAGACTTAGAGAAGATTTATGTTGCGCCAACGTTTCATATCACCTGACCGTGACACCTGGTTAGTTCAAAGGCCCATTTTTAAATGTCCCATGGGATACTTTTCTGGTCACTTCTGTCTGTCCAAGGGGCAGAAGCGGAGACAAAGAGCTACAGGTTACTAATTATAATCCCAGGGATTAAAAAAGGAAAAATCCAGCAGGAGGAGCTCTAACCCGCCTTAGAGCTCAAATTTTTAAAATCAAAACCGTTGAACTCAGAGGCAAACAGAGCAGTGGTTGTGCCTCGCAAGTCGCTGTGGCTGTGACCAAACACGTGACCGAGTCCCAGTAAAGGCTCCGCCCGCAGCTGGGGATGAGCCTGCCGGGGCCGAAGGGCCAGCAAAGGGCCAGCATGTCCCCCGTGCACAAGCCTCCTCGTCCTCACACAGCTAAGCTGGGACTGGCTCTGCGGTGCCTGCTCGTACAAAAGAGGGAGCAAAAGGCCGATTTCTAGGCAAGTCTAGAAGTAAGTCCTTTCCTCTCAAAGGGTCCTACTGTTTCTACACGAGACTTCGACACTCGCTCAAACACTACATTTAAAAATGGAATTTTTTTTAAAGATTTATTTATTTATTGGACAGACAGAGATCACAAGGAGGCAGAGAGACAGGCAGAGAGAGAGAGGAGGAAGCAGGCTCCCCGCTGAGCAGAGAGCGCGATGTGGGGCTCGATCCCAGGACCCTGGGATCATGACCCGAGCCGAAGACAGAGGCTTTAACCCACTGAGCCACCCAGGCGCCCCTAAAAATGGAATTTTTATCCGTGGTGGACGGCACTGCAAATGCTCCCCAGTGTTCCCTCGCCCTCACTCGGTGGCTTGATGGGTGCGCTTTTAAAATGAGGGAAATGCTGCATTTGTAAAAATTGGTGCTAAAAGGGCAAGGAATCATATGTCCCCTGGGCCATGTAAAGAGTCTGCAGAAGGAATTACAGTTTTCTAACATACACACACACACACACAACTGGAGCACAAAGAATTCACTCAGGAAAACAGAAGTATATGAATTCAAGAGTTACGGGATTTGGGGGTGAGCCTTTCCATTTTGGACAGTGTTGTGGGAGTGGGCATACAAGATGGTCAGAATTACTTTACCTGAAGGAAACTTTCAACCAATCCCTTTTAATCTTTTGCCAATGAGAAGTCAAACTTTTTGTTTTACACCTTAATGGTATGCCCACATTTTAAATTTTTATACAAGCTTCTACAGAAACTTTAACTAGACCAATTCAGACCAAAAGTCACTAAATAAAGCTAGTCTAGACGGAAAAATCTATGAAAACCATATGTCTTTTAGGCATCTGTCTTACAAAAACTGCCATCATCCTGGAGAAATAGTTCACAAAATACGCTTTTAGGAGAACTGCTGTAATGACCATGGGGACTGTGCTTGAGAAGACAGCTTGCCTAGGGAAAGTCAAGCCAAAATGTTTACCAGTGAAAGGCTCACATTTCTACATACGTTTGTCCGTAAACATCACTGAAGGGACAGGCAAAGGCAGGCATCATTTATATTTCATTATATTTCCATTATCTTAGAAGGGATCAAAAAGGTTTTGTTCCTCTGCACTCCTACAGAATGTTAGACCAAGGGATTTCAAAGCCACCCTGTTCTCACTCACAGAAGACTGTTTTGGATAATGTTGTACGTGGATGAGGCCAAAGAACCAGAACATTTTCTTCTGATTATTACCCTGCTGGCCTGCCACACACAGCAAGGAGGCAGGTGTCCGACACACGTAGCTAAAGGAAGACCATCCTGGATAACTGGACGGAGGGCCCAGCTGGGAGACAAGGGCAATCAGGACTAGGGTCGAAAACGAGTGCAAGGCGAATGCAGCAAAGACGTGTTCTCGAACCCTGCTTTTCTGATTGAATCTTGCTCTCTGAACTGGAGACAGGGTGAGTGCTACCTTCATTATTCCGGCCACATATTTTTATATCCCAGAATGCACATTGAAGAAGTAGCATGAAATCCACAGGAAAAAGAATAGAAAAGCAAATGTTAATGATCAAAATCATAACATTTGAACTGAAAGCTGAGCAGCCTGTGGAGATTATGAGAGTATTTATAAGTCGCAAAGACTCCTTGTGACCCTCGAGGATATTTTCTTCTTGCTCAACAGGGAAAGGGGCTTTGGAAGACCACATAACAATGGCTATTGGCACGAGTGCCCCATTGTGTTGTGCTGTCACCTAGAGGGCTGGGAAAGCACAACAGATGTCGAATGGCTACATCTGGGGAAGAGGTCCTGGGTGGGAGGGGACGAGCATGGTATAAAAGAAGGAAATTTGTAAGATGTAGCTAGTCATACACCAACGTTTTAAGCCCAGGGAAAGACACTACTTCAACATGTCCAGTCAAAGCTACTGTGCTTTAAAATGAGTTTTAAATATACTTATTTAGTTTTCAAGTCTTAAGATGGTAATGGGATAATTTAGTGTTTAAAATTTTAAAGCAAATCAACCTGTCACATCAGCATCCCTCATTATCGATTCCTAAACTGAACTATAGGGCATTTAAGTAACTCAGTCACAGTCCGCTGATGAGTCACGGGGTTTCTGTGGTCCATTAACTTCAGTCCTGCGTCTGCCAATACTACCATTGTCCAGCTGAACCGACAAGTTTGCTTTCTTTCAAATAATATGTGTCGCATGGATTTTATTTTGACTTTAGACCCAGATATGTGGAGGGAAATTACTGCAGTGGTTTCTCTAGTTAACACATTTACTAATGTTCCCTTAATTTTCCACCCCAAGAGGCAATAATTAAGGTAGAATTTGCCTCACATGAAGTTTTATTATTTTAGTTATTAAAATATTTTCCAACACTACGAAGAAGCAAAAAGAAATTCTAGTTGTTTTAAAAATAAGTAGACATTTTCCTCAGGTTTTATAGCTTTTCCTCCCTGAATGGTGGTGGCAAGGTGGAGCAGTGTGTAGACCTTGTGGCAAAGTCCCTTGAGTGTGATACTGAGGGCAGAATTATTCGAGGGAAAAATTTCATTCACTCTTAAAACTGGCCTCAAGAACAATCCTAATATAAACTTAAAAAAATCCACATGTACAGAATATATCATCTATAAATACCTGCTCCACGGTGAAATCATTTCATTTTAGACTTTCTGGGCTGCAAAACACCTTTCTCATCTACCCTCCTAAGAGGTCTCATTCTGGGTCAATGTGATATATATGGACCAAGATAAACATAGATCATGCTGCCTCGCAGAAATCAGAAACTAAAAAGAGGTAATATTTACATGGTGGAGGCAACTGGTGTATTTGATTGTAAAATAAAATCATTTCCCAGATCACTGGCAAAACCACCCGAGGCCTTCTCATACCTCTCACTTCCTCTGGGTTCTTGAAACTGCCACAGAAGCCTGGGGTCTCCCGTGTGGCGCATCTAGTCTGTGCGTCTCTAGGCTCACGTGTCTCCCTCTCTACCAACTTCTCAGCCCTTCCACAAGAAAACCAGGCGTGGGATGGAGCTCGTGTCTAAATTTCATATTAACTTGCCCATTTATTGGGTTCCAGTATTTACGCGGCATCCTGTTTTTCAGCTTTTAGGCTAATCCCAGTGGGGGAAAATGCCGACCGTGTGAAGATGTGGAATTCTCCTCGTGTCTGGGCAACCGAAGTCAAGAAGGCCCAGCCTTGCCACTGATGGTGAGAGAAGGAGAATTTTGCTATCTGCCATTTTGATGAACCATTTTTTCCTGATCCTCGGAGGGAACGTGTTCTTTCTACAGTTCACGTGAGCTGATGAGTTTGGCTGGAACACAGGAATGGACATGTCCTAGTGTGTATGGGAATCATTAAAAAAATAATTCCAGAAATTAGAGCACTTGCTGTTTGTGGTTTTGCCTATCTCGTGGCTCTGATGCCTGAAAAGCAACCAAAAGGAAAGAAAGTACGATGCCACGATGCGGCTTCCTGAGTACCTTGTGGTTTCAGACTTTGCCCTAGGTAGGAATTCTAGTTTTGAGCAGAGTCGTTGCCAAGTGACCTAAAGGCTCACCCAAATGCAGGTGATGGGGCGTCAGGACACCTGCAGATTCTCTCCAACCCAGTGCCCTGCCAGCGCCGTGCCCTCTTCCCCCGCACTCAAAACTACCGGCCGACCAAAAGCGCGATACTCGTTTGGCAACAGCATTAAGTCAGCCACACGGACTTCATTTGGCAACTAACGGGTGGGAATACGTGTTCAGATTCCGACATTCCCCCGGACAATGGTTACAATATGTTGGCTCAAACAAGCTAATGGATTTAAGTGTCGGGCATTTAAAAATTCTGTGTTCAAGCAGCAATAAAGTTGTGATGAGCAGACAAATGCCATCCAACCGTCAGCTCGACCCTGCTCTCCTTCCTCGTGCTGCTGGAGGTAAGCTTTGAGGGCACGTTCTGAGTGAAAGGCGCAGCATTTACAATTTCATGTTTAATTTCCTGGCTGTTTATCGGCCGAAGCAACCCCAGGAAGCTCAATTTCGCTTCTAATCTTTCAGAGGAGCTGATAAGTGAGAGGGAAGGAAGAAGCGCCCAGCAGCTCCTCCGAGCACGCCGCTGGGACGAAATTTAGAGGTGAACCAGCCACGAGGCCTGTGCTACAATCTCCGATGTCGCTGGAAAACCTGCCATCTGACGAAACTCTCTGCCCGAGCTTTCCCTGCAACACCCTCCTCCTCTTACAGCGAGGGAGACAAAGGGGCGGTGGCGAGAGAGAAGGACTAGCTTGCGTGTGTCTGTCGGCTTACACTGGGCGGGCTTCGATTCTCTTTGCTTTTCCTTTTTTTTGGTTTCTTTTCCCTTTTGAGCTGACATCAACTCGTATATGGGAACATTCAGCAGATTCCAACTGGTGACAGTTTGCTGCTGCCTGGCCACAGGAAGAATAATCACCATTTACTGTGTGTTTTTCACTGGTCAGTGGCTCTCGGGCCAGACTCCCACCTTGGCCGTCTTCCTCCATCAGTCGGGTGAGACCCAGGGCAGGGCTGGGTATCCTGAAACTCAGAGAGCCTTGCCCTGCAATGGCGGAAGCTTTGCAGTTTAGAGCCCAGAGAGAACAGTGACAGAGCAATTTGCTCGCGTCTGTCACGGGACGTGGAAGCAGTTGGATCTGGTTAACTCAGTGCCAGCCAGCACCGGGCTAACGGAGGCGTGTTGTTCGGGTTCCTGGGGCCCCGCCGCCCGTCTGCAGCTCTGATGCTCGTACCCTGTCTCCTCTAGATCTTCCTTATGTTCCTTTCCCTTCTATCCTCCTTCGGCCTCGGATATTTGGAAAAGGAAGATAAGGGACACACTGAAAACAGGCGATCTCAAGTCTGCCTTGACACATGTGCAGAAGTGTGACCTCCCAAGTGTGACCTCCAGAACACTCGCGGTTCTGTCCCTGGGCCTCCCCGGAACAGACCGCCAGTCACTGTGAACTGTGGCAGGATGAAGATGTTTGTGTAAAGTAGACTCGAGTTCGCTAGACCCAAGGAGGAAACCACCAGACTAATTTTACCTTCACTTAAACCAGGCTGAAACCAAGACCCAAGAATGAAAAACCTTGTCATTAACCATCCATTCACCTCAGTGAGATATTATGTTACAACCAGAATCGTTGTGGAATTCAAATGATTTTGATGGGATATTTAACCGAGGGGCTTAAATTAAATTGAATATTTTCTCTAGTGAGCAGTCTATGGCCAAATTTCTGTTTTCATTAAATTATATGAAGCGTCATATTTTCAACTCATGTTGAACCTGCAACACATCATCAATTACACCTGGGATTTCAGTAACAAATGTTGTGACACAGCGGCCTCACCAAATGCCTGACATGCTAAGAATTGGAACACCTCAAAGTTGTTTCCGTTCTTGGCATTTAGACTTAAAAAAAAAAAATCTTTGCTTGACTTTTAAATCCAGTTGCTAAAAATAAAAACTGCTTCCCTGAAAAATCAGAATACCTAATCACAAATTTATTTGTTTTTTAAAGGGGAAGGACAGCAGGGGAAAAAAACCTCGTGGCCGAAATCAGACATCACAAGACGCGCTCATCATTGCCCAAATGACACTCAGTTGCTACAGGAAGTCACGTGCTTAGTGGGCTCTTGAGGGAGTAAGTCAGGACGTTTCCAGGACATGATTTCAGGAGAACCAGACACACAGGCTAGTCACAAAGGTCGCTTAGTTGTCCGAGTACCCTGAGCCCAAGACTTCAAGACTCAGCAGCTTCATGCTTCACGGCACCGACCCTTCATGTGAGGGACACAAAGACACGCTTATAAGAATCGTGGGTTTGTCCTTACTCAAAATTTGGGGGACTGGCTGAAAAACAAAACAAAACAACGAGACCTTATCCCTCAGTGAAAGGGATTCTGCGTTACTGTCAACTAGAGCAACATATAAAATACGAAGGAGAGAGCACAGCAGCGTATCAAGGGCAAACATCTCCAACAAGATCCCACCGTAAAGAGAACCAAATGGCTTTTACCTCCTTAAAGAGACCCCGAGGGCACCAGCCATCTCTCGCGCAGAGGGACTGCTGAGCCTCTCGCCACGTCGGGTCCGCAGGAAACGGCCGGGAGCGTGGGGCTGTGAGGAGACCCCCGGGTGCCACGGCGAGTCGGGGGAAATGTACGTCACGGGACGGGCATCCGCGGGGAGCCTGTGATAGTGTCCAGGACGCTCCGGGGCTGCCCGTGCCGTGAGGGATGGAAGCTTCGCTACGGGGTCACCAGAGAGGCTTTCCGTGGAGCATTTCTTGGTTTCCGTCTTGTGTTTCTGTCATGTGCGTGGCTGCAGTAAAGGCCAAATCCTTGCCTGTGATTCAGTTTTTTGCCATTTTTTTAAAAAGATTTTATTTACTTATTTGACAGA